TCTCTCCCGAGCGTTGGTGAGTTACACAGTTTCCAAGGTTTACACATTATAACATGGGGTACAGATGTTATAAGTGAAATTACTACGTGCAGCATCCTACAAACATTTCATAAACACTAAACACATTCTCATAAACTTAACATCTGTTTTAACAGTGGTAAAACACAAGTGAGTCAGGAGAGTTTCAAGTTATGTACTGGTCAGTATTCAGTTGAGGCCTAGGGGCATTGGCATGAGCTGGCACTTGGTCTGCCAGCATCACATCAGGGAACATAGAGGCTTATTTGCAGTTGAATCTACAGGGATATACATTGTGCAGTCATTTTCTTAGGTATAGCTTGATCATAAATGATCTGTGTATGGAAGAAAGAGTGTGGGGGTCTGCTTTTCATCTTGTCCAGACCCAAAAGGTGGTGATTCTGTTTAAACAGTTCACCATTCTGGTTACACTTTTCAAAAGGGATCTTTCAAGTGATTTAATGTGACACTATTATTTTTGATGGATGACCTCATTTATTTCAGAACTAATGGGTGAGAGTTAGCTCAAATTTTTCCATCTTCCGTGACAAGAAAATAACTTACAATTGGTATATTTAAGAAATAGATTGAAAACAAAAAAAAATGGAATGATGCACCAAAGGATAAATCATGAACAGGATTTATAGTATAGAAAAATGATGTTCTTGCAAAAAAAAAAAATATATATATATATATATATATATCACTTGGTTGCAATGACTAATATAGTCTAAGTGCTGTTCAGAGAGTAGCTACTGCCTTTTTACCTGAGCTAGAGCATCTCCAGTCACAACCTGAACCTACGTTCTGTTGTAAGTGCTGCAGTGATTAAAACCCCATTGTCCATAGAGCCAAACAGCAGGAGATGCTGTTTCTAAGTAAGTAAAGAGGTTAGCTGTTTGACAATACTTTATAATAGATAATAGGTACAAATTATTATTCCTTTGGTACTTACAGTCCGTTGTAAGAGTTACTGTGAAGATGAATTCCTTCAGTAACATTGTGCACATTAGCAGCACTATGGTTATAATCAAGAAGACACTTCTGTTATAATCCCTTATTTTTGAGGGGTGGGAACAGAAAACAACCAGCCATATCCTTTCAGTTCATATTTACCAAGTTTTCCCTTCCCCGCCTCCAGCCTAAAGGCAAACTTTTTAGAAGTTTTCATATAGTTCAATGTGGTGATGTTTAAGATGCCTGAGCATGCAAACAATTTTTTTTTTTACACCTAAGTATCAGAATTTATTATCTTTGCACGTGGGTAACTCAAAATTGGCTTTTAAAGCTTCAGGGCCTGATTCTTGGACTTCTGGGAGGTCACAAAGTGACCTTAAAGCTGTTCTACCAAGGTAGCTGAGGATTCCCTTGGCTTGGGGGAAATGACTGGATGGGGAAAAGCCGAGGTAGCTGTCTGCCAGGCAGCTCTAATTTGTGACAGGAGTCAGATCAGCCTCCAACCACCCCTCGACTGCAGGAGAGAGAAAAGGACGATAAGATCACCTTTGCTTCTGATCCCTCAGCTCAGGAACACCTGAAAATGTAGTCCTCAGACTTACCCAGGAACAGGTTATCAGTCAGGACTAACTTCTGATGTGCATGAAGAACATCGTTTTATCAATCAAGACATTAAAAACAGTTGAAAAAAAAATCACAATGACAAACTAAATCCCATTAATCCTTTCAATGCACCCAGCCATAACAGGCACCCGAGGCAAAATGTGTCTTCAGTGCATACCATATACCAGATACATCACAATAAAGTGCTTGTGTTTTAAGAATGCTGCTGAATTCTACTGCAACAGAGCTATTGTTAGCTAATCACATCAGGCAACTCAGACCTGGGTTCAGTTAATATAAGAAGCCACACGGGACTGAAACGAGACATAGCTTTAATAACAGAAATAAGTTTCTCAATCCCCACCAATCTTTATCCACAGAACAGACGTGCCACCTCTGTTAGTTCTGATTAAATACATAAAATCCCTTTGTCAGTGCTCTCAGAAGATATGGGGCAAGCATAGATAAATAGATAAGCAAGTATAAATTTATAGAGAGAAAACTTCAGAACCTGTTTTATGGCCCTGACCTGCTAGTTCACTCCTGGTTTTGCGACCTATTCTCTAGAGTTGTATAAAAGGAAAATAATCTTCTCCCTCCTCCTTTCCCCAGTTATGTTTCACCCAAAACATGACTCCATTTTGAGGGAACATCAACACTGCACGCTTCTTTTGGCAATGTGTAGAGCACATACACACATAGCCCCCTTCCCCACCCCCAGGAGTATAAGCAGCAGTGTAGCCAGGGAGGCATGCCTTAGGCAAGTAAAGACACACTGGAAGTGTGCAGGTATGTATGGGAGTACATACTGTGACAGACCCAGACCAGTGGGGTACAGGAGTCTGGTCCTATTGGGATCCAGAAAGTGGGCGGGCAGAGCTTGTCCACTACGAAAGGAGCCCCCGCCAGTCTAAGGGGGTACAGGAGTCTGGTCCTATTGGGATCCAGGACGTGGGCGGGCAGAGCTCGTCCACTACAAAGGAGCCCCCCCCAGCCTACGGGGGTACAGAAGTCTGGTCCTATTGGGATCCAGGACGTGGGCGGGCAGAGCTCGTCCACTACAAAGGAGCCCCCCCCAGCCTACGGGGGTACAGAAGTCTGGTAGAAGGCAAATATACTGGCCACTGGATGAACAGTTTTCTGTTCCCTGAGTGACCGGAACAGGAACTGCCCTAGAGCAATCAGGAACCTGCTAGAACCAATTAAGATAGGCAAGCTAATCAAGACACCTGGAGCCAATTAAGAACTTTCTAGAATCAATTATGGCAGGCAGGCAAATCAGGACACCTGATTTAAAAAGGACCTCCCATCAGTTAGCAGAGTGGCACGCCAGGAGCAGGGAGTGAGAAGGTGTGCTGCTGGAGGAGTGAAGAGTTCAAGCATGATCAGGCTTCAGAAGAAAGATCCTGCAGTGAGGATAAAGAAGGTGCTGGGAAAAGGCCATGGGGAAGTAGCCCAGGGAGTTGTAGCTGATACAGGACACATTCCTGTGATTGGACACAGAAGGAGTTGAGCTGGTCTGTGAGAAACACCAGAAGGGAAGGTCTAAATTGGAAAGGGATCTGGCCTGTCCCTGACCCACTAGGTGGGACACAGAGACTGCGGGGATTGTTCTCCATTTCCCCCAGTGATGAGGTTAGCTGAGTGGACGGCAGGTTTGAGCCACTAGCAAAAGTGGCCAAACTGAGGGCTGCTGTGAATCTCTGAGGCGTGCAAATCCGCCAATAAGCACAGGACCCACCAAGGCAGAGGAGGAACTTTGTCACAATACCCTATGGGCTCTCTACGCACCCAAACGGCGCCTCCATGTCTACACTGCTGTTTTTAGCAATATAGCATCCCACCGCTGGAGCCTTTCCCCTCCACAGGGTAAGATTCCCCAGCAAGGAAATGCTGTGGCAGGGAAGCAACAGGGAAAGGCTTCAGCAGCTTCCCTGCTGCAGAGCTTTTCCCTGCTGCCTCTTCCTGGCAGAGCCTTTCCTCACTGCAGTGAAAGGCTCTGGCAGCAGGAAGCTGCTAGTGGGTCGGGGACAGGCCAGATCCCTTTCCAATTTAGACCTTCCCTTCTGGTGTTTCTCACAGACCAGCTCAACTCCTTCTGTGTCCAATCAGGAGTTGGGGGGAACCCAGGCCCACCTTCTACACTGGGTTCCAGCCCAGGGCCCTGTGGATAGCAACTGTCTACAATGTTCCCTGTATCAGCTACAACTCCACTTTTGCTTTTTCCTGCTGCAGCCCCTCTGCCAGAGCCTCTTTCTGATGTTGTAGCTGTTCTTAGCAATATGGATGCAGCCTGCTTTTCACTGCAGTGTATAAGCTGTGCATACCCTACACAAAAGGTGACCAGATGTCCCAATTTTATAGGGACAGTCCCGATATCGGGGCTTTGTCTTATATAGTCACCTATTAACCCCCACTCCAGTCCCAATTTTTCACACTTGCTATCTGATCACCCTACCTACATGCCACCGCCAGTGGTGCATAGTGTAGACACGGCCTCAGTGTCCTTGAAATTTTGCTTTTCCATGAAATTTCACAGCAGTGCTTTTTTGCATCAAATCACATGAGCGCATAAAAAGCCAACTTTGTGCAAAATGTCATGCTTATGAGCTTTTGATAAGAAACAGAAGGACAGTGAACATCTTGAACATTATGTTGTTGATGGAGAGAGACTGGGAGAAAGTGGGAACATTATTTACCAATATTAATAATATAAGTATTATTTACACACACACTGTCTCACACACTTACACAATCATGGAGAAAAAGGGAGGTGACATGGGGAATGAGCCAGAGTGGAGGAAAGGAAGGGAAATAGATCTAACTTAGCCTCATACCGGAGTACTCAAATCCATGCTCCACAAAGAAAATACGTTTTTTAGGACAGATGTCAGCAGACTTGGATACTTTCTGACTTAGGGGCTGATCAAAAGCCCACTGGATTCAACAGAAGCCTTTTCATTGACTTCAGTGGGCTTTGGATCAGGCCTTTGGTCCTCAATTAAGATTTTTCCCATTAGTGAGTAGCCAAAATGCTGCTGAATGTGATCTATACAGAATGTACACAGCCAGTATTTTCACATGAAAGTTTAGCACAAATATTAGGTGAGAGTAGCAGCAGAAAATATTCTTAAGCAGAATTATAATAAAAATATATACATCATCCCAGAAGCCTGCAAAGTAACACCTTTCTTCACTAAATCTCCTCAATCCTAGTCCACATAAGATTTCTGTAATAAACAGCCACAGGGTGGCCATGGTCCACCTTGATTCATGTACACTGAATGGTATGTTTTTAGAAAATACTGCATTTACTCTTGGAATAAATTTTAAAAGTAATAAAAATGTGTTTTATCTACATGTCCTTTAGAACAACAAGAGCAAGCACTTATATTTCCTTCTTAATCCACTTTTTCCAACAGGCAGATGCTATCAAGCACCAAGCGATCTGATGCCTGTCACAGAAAGTCATGCACCAGAAGCTGATACAGCAAGACAATTAATGAATGAACAAATCTCTTTCAGAGGCCTGTCTGTGGAAGAGACTGTGGGTTTTGCCTCTAGTGAGAAACACAATATGAAACAAGTCTTAAGTGCACCCAAGCTACTGTGACTTTCAGTTTCATTCTTTCATTGGGAAGCAAGGGACAGACGGCTAGGCAGACAGACAAAGATTTACTGAATGCTTTTTTGTTCACCAGCCATTTTATGAATGAATGCAGACAATAAATAGTGCTATGCTTGAGCTACCAAGCAGATACCAAAGTTATATTTCAAATTTTAGATGCTCCTTCCATTTGTAAAGGTTCAAGCTGTCCCAGCTTCACAGTGTATGATGACCTCAGCAAGAAGCTCCTCTAGTAAATTATGGCTATACATTTGGCTGGGTCTAATGTGGATATATTTTGGAATAGAAATGCCTGAAAATATTTTAAGAGCAAAATGTTCCCATATCTTAAATTTATGCTGAAGTACATTACTGTTAAATGACCAGATGTAAAACTATTGCTTCACTCTGCAGGTATGTATCTATTAAGAAATAATGCCAATGGACCAGAATGCTGTTATAGAATAATGTCTCCTATTGGGGATCTACAGAACTCTGAGATTAAGGCAGAAGTATCAAAAATAACCAAGTCACAACTGGAACATTTATTTTCACTATGGATGGAGATCAAAACAGGAAGATCTCCAGGAAGAAAATCCAAGTTGAAGAGGCAAGTAGCCGGAAGCTAATAACCCCATTAACTATTTTGGAAGGCTGGAGGTAATTTCATGATTAGTAGACACCTGTGTAAGCAGCTTTATGTTTAGTTTAGCAATTGAGAGGGTGGTTTACTGCATACTTTTATGTATAACTTTCCTATGATAATCCTCGGGTAAGTGTGTATATCTCATTTTTTTATGCTGATTTGGAAGAGATTGAATTAGATTGAAACCACCAACTCATTCACACAGACCAAACAATTGTTGGATGATAACTTTCAGTCACTAATGACTTAGCCTGGATTTGAACTGGTGACCCAGAAAGCAAAAAGCTGAATCCTATTATAAGCCACCCTAAGTGCAGTTTAGCTACTGTTTTGAACCTTCCTGTGCTTAACTGAATTAAAATGAAGGGCCACTGGAATCCTGGCATACTTTAGGACCAACTTGATCACAGATGTAGAACAATAATCTGGCAAAGTTTAGGCAGTTCTGCTTCTGTGGCACATATAGCATGTAACTGTTTGCTGCAATAGAAAGTCAGAATGCACTGTTGGTTGCAGACTTCATGGCAATGGGTTATTCTCCTCTGTGAGAATTTAACCATTTCAGCATGCAGATCATTTTCCAGAATGTGTACATGAAAAAACATGACAATGGGGTATGGGGGCAGGGGGAAAGACACAACAGGGGCTATTCTACAAATCACAGGCATCATCATTTTAGTATGGATCACTTCAGTACTGAAAGGGTTAGCAGGCACTCCAGTAGCTCGATGTAAAATTGGAGCCAATGTTTTCAGTCATATTTCTGCATTTCCCATGCCAAGCTGGTTGAGAATTGCAACAAGTGCCAACCAATTACTGTATATATCATGACATCAACTTTTAAGCTGGTTGTGCAAAAAAAAACAAACAAAAGCCAGGAGTCTGGGACTGGAGGAGTCTAATCTTTCAAGGCTTTTGAAAAAGTGTTGCTATAGTTTTTGACAACATAATTTAAAGCCTTTTATATAGAGCAATCTACACCTCCGCCCCTCTCCATCTCGCCTTCCCCCTTGGTATTGTCTTGGCTGTCAATTATTGGAAAAGGAGCCTGTTCTTTAAAAGGCTTTTAAATGATTAGAAGTTATTTGGAATATCATCTAAAAGCTCTGGAAAAAAAGAACAAACACTACCCTACCTCCCTCCCTCTCTTTCTTTCCCTCTCTCACACACACGCTTATTTATTTGTACTATTTCCGCCTAAACATGAAGTGACACAAAGCCATGATTGACTGGTGATATCTGGGATCAGTCACTATGCTGACCTTAGAACCTGAGCTGTGTGGATGTTCAATCAAAAATCTAATGCTTAGCTTTAAAGTGCCTAATATGTTACCTAGCAATGTCTGTTTCCTTTTATTTCTGTATTACGGTGGGAATTTTTACTGAAGAGGTGAGAGAATTTAGGGCCCTTATAAGGGAGTGGGTTGTGTTCCTGACTGAAATATGCATACAGTAAACAAAGCAAAGACAGCTGCACCATTTTGCCAAGTAAGCAAAATTGTTGATAATTCAGGGTTGGTTTGTTCTGCTACAAAACAGATTCTGGTTCTCTCAAATCAGACTGACTATGGCATTGAGAGATATTGTATTATACATTTTACATTATAATATTGTTTACTGGAGGAATAAATTACATACCTGTGTGAAGTGATGGAGAGAAGACATCATTCATTATCACATTCAGCAGTGTGCTGAATACAGCTGTGATCCGTGGTAACTGTGCCAGCTAATCTAAAGTGATCATATCAGAGGAGAGGTGTTCATACAACTAAAGAATGCTAATGTTTGATGTGAAATATGGATTTTTCCCATTGTTTTCTAAAAAAGCCCTTGTAATCCATGGGCCAAATTCATGACTGACATGTAAATTGCACCACCGTATGTGTCAAGAAGTCAGTGTAAGTTGGTGGGAGCATAAGAAGGGGGGAGTGTAAGGTGCACTGTGAGTGAGATGGAGGATAAGGCAGGTTTGCAACAGAAAAAAACCCACAGGAGGATGTAAAAAGGTGCAAGTCCCCGTTTTACCCTTCACTCTTCTTTGATTGCTTTTCCTGATACAATCTCTCCTTTACATCCTTGTACGGATACGTTGCCATGTGCAGGTCACTGTGCCAAGTGAAGTGAAGTGAGCAGAGTATGTGAAGTGAGAGAGGTAATGGGGGTCCAGTGGGTAGGAACCCAGGTATTAGGAGATCTGGGATATTTTTGGTTCTGCTCATGACTTACTCTGAGTAAAGTCCTTGGAGCAAATTTTTTTAAAAATCCGATGCATAAAGTTATGGATTTAGGTGCCTATTTAGGCATTAAATGAATACGATCTGGGTTTTTTTGTTTGTTTGTTTTTTCTCCAGAGAGGCTGACCCCCTCCTGCTTCCATTTGGGAGAAGCAATCAGTCAGCATCTTTAAATAAACCTTGCCTGTTTGTTCACATGCACAAAACTTCATAGACACCCGAGTTTGAACATTTTGACCTAAACCTCTTTTTGTGCTTACAAATTTGGATGAAGAACTTTGGAATCTATAACAAGTTGCAGTGGGGGAGGTTTAGGTTGGATATTAGGAAAAACTTTTTCACTAGGAGGGTGGTGAAACACTGGAATGCGTTGCCTAGGGAGGTGGTGGAATCTCCTTCCTTAGAAGTTTTTAAGGTCAGGCTTGACAAAGCCCTGGCTGGGATGATTTAATTGGGGATTGGTCCTGCTTTTGAGCAGGGGGTTGGACTAGATGACCTCTTGAGGTCCCTTCCAACCCTGATATTCTATGATTCTAAGGGCTTCTTTTAAGATTTTGCCCCAAGTTTTGCCACAGAATCCACACCTCACCTATACCTCACTTCTAAATCAAAGCTTTCTTTTAAAGATAAATTGTAGTTCTAGATCTTATGGTTACTGATTTAATGCAGCCTGCACTCAGCCATCTCTGCACAGAAGGTTCAGTGGTTCAGTAAGGGGGATGTAATAATAAGTAGACATGAGGAACAAATAAATAACTGTGCCATTGTTTGTGTTATGTTCCATGGATTTGCATTGCAACATTTATCTGCATGCACTCCAACTGCCACTCAGCGGGCTAGGTACAGATATTGAATGCAGAGGACTTAGTGCAGGTTTGCAGAGCTGTCACGGTGATATGAACAGAGGTGCGTGTGTACCTTGAGGATCAAAAGTATGCCTCATTCCATCACTGAGTTCCATGCATTGTATCTTAGACAGGTATAAATGTGTGTCCTTGCCCAGAGGCTTGTCAGCAGTCTGGTGTCATACATGACAGTGGCCTCTGAAACTTAGGGTATGTCTACACTACGGAATTAGGTCGAATTTATAGAAGTCGTTTTTTTAGAAATCGGTTTTATATATTCGAGTGTGTGTGTCCCCACAGAAAATGCTCTAAGTGTATTAAGTGCATTAACTCGGCGGAGTGCTTCCACAGTACCGAGGCTAGAGTCAACTTCCGGAGCGTTGCACTGTGGGTGGCTATCCCACAGTTCCCGCAGTCTCCGCTGCCCATTGGAATTCTGGGTTGAGATCCCAATGCCTGATGGGGCTAAAACATTGTCGCAGGTGGTTCTGGGTACATATCATCAGGCCCCCGTTCCCTCCCTCCCTCCGTGAAAGCAAGGGCAGACAATCGTTTCACACCTTTTTTCCTGAGTTACCTGTGCAGACGCCATACCACGGCAAGCATGGAGCCCGCTCAGGTAACCGTCACCCTATGTCTCCTGGGTGCTAGCAGACGCAGTACTGCATTGCTACACAGTAGCAGCAACCCATTACCTTGTGGCATCAGACGGTACAATACGACTGGTAGCCGTCATCGTCATGTCCGAGGTGCTCCTGGTCACGTCGGCCAGGAGCGCCTGGGCAGACATGGGCGCAGGGACTACATTTGGAGTGACTTGACCAGGTCATTCTCTTTAGTCCTGCAGTCAGTCCTATTGAACCATCTTATGGTGAGCAGGCAGGCGATACGGATTGCTAGCAGTCGTACTGTACCATCTTCTGCCGAGCAGCCATGAGATGTGGATGGCATGCAGTCCTTCTGCACCGTCTGCTGCCAGCCAAAGATGTAAAAGATAGATGGAGTGGATCAAAACAAGAAATAGACCAGATTTGTTTTGTACTCATTTGCTTCTCCCCCCTCCCCCGTCTAGGGGACTCATTCCTCTAGGTCACACTGCAGTCACTCACAGAGAAGGTGCAGCGAGGTAAATCTAGCCATGTATCAATCAGAGGCCAGACTAACCTCCTTGTTCCAATAAGAACAATAACTTAGGTGCACCATTTCTTATTGGAACCCTCCGTGAAGTCCTGCCTGAAATACTCCTTGATGTAAAGCCACCCCCTTTGTTGATTTTAGCTCCCTGAAGCCAACCCTGTAAGCCATGTCGTCAGTCGCCCCTCCCTCCGTCAGAGCAACGGCAGACAATCGTTCCGCGCCTTTTTTCTGTGCGGACGCCATACCAAGGCAAGCATGGAGGCCGCTCAGCTCACTTTGGCAATTAGGAGCACATTAAACACCACACGCATTATCCAGCAGTATATGCAGCACCGGAACCTGGCAAAGCGATAGCGGGCGAGGAGGCGACATCAGTGCGGTCACATGAGTGATCAGGACATGGACACAGATTTCTCTGAAAGCATGGGCCCTGCCAATGCATGCATCATGGTGCTAATGGGGCAGGTTCATGCTGTGGAACACCGATTCTGGGCTCGGGAAACAAGCACAGACTGGTGGGACTGCATAGTGTTGCAGGTCTGGGACGATTCCCAGTGGCTGCGAAACTTTTGCATGCGTAAGGGCACTTTCATGGAACTTTGTGACTTGCTTTCCCCTGCCCTGAAGCGCATGAATACCAAGATGAGAGCAGCCCTCACAGTTGAGAAGCGAGTGGCGATAGCCCTGTGGAAGTTTGCAATGCTAGACAGCTACCGGTCAGTTGGGAATCAATTTGGAGTGGGCAAATCTACTGTGGGGGCTGCTGTGATGCAAGTAGCCCACGCAATCAAAGATCTGCTGATATCAAGGGTAGTGACCCTGAGAAATGTGCAGGTCACAGTGGATGGCTTTGCTGCAATGGGATTCCCTAACTATGGTGGGGCCATAGATGGAACCCATATCCCTATCTTGGCACGGGAGCACCAAGCCGGCGAGTACATAAACCGCAAGGAGTACTTTTCAATAGTGCTGCAAGCTCTGGTGGATCACAAGGGACGTTTCACCAACATCAACTTGGGATGGCCGGGAAAGGTACATGATGCTCGCATCTTCAGGAACTCTGGTCTATTTCAAAAGCTGCAGGAAGGGACTTTATTCCCAGACCAGAAAATAACTGTTGGGGATGTTGAAATGCCTATATGTATCCTTGGGGACCCAGCCTACCCCTTAATGCCATGGCTCATGAAGCCATACACAGGCAGCCTGGACAGTAGTCAGGAGCTGTTCAACTACAGGCTGAGCAAGCGCAGAATGGTGGTAGAATGTGCATTTGGACATTTAAAGGCACGCTGGCGCAGTTTACTGACTCGCTTAGACCTCAGTGAAACCAATATTCCCACTGTTATTACTGCTTGCTGTGTGATCCACAATATTTGTGAGAGTAAGGGGGAGACGTTGATGGTGGGGTGGGAGGTTGAGGCAAATCGCCTGGCTGCTGGTTACAC